AGGTAGGGACGTATTTTCTAAAGGTCAAGAGAAGCCAGAGACCTGAATTTATATTTTTAAATACATTTTATTTATTGATTTTTAGAGAGAGGGCAAGGGAAGGAGGAAAAGAGAGAGAAACATTAGTGTGTGGTTGCCTCTCGAGTGACCCCTACTGGGGACCTGGCCTGCAACCCAGGCCTGTGCCCTGACTGTGAATCGAACTGGCGACACTTTGGTTCACAAGCTGGCACTCAGTACACTGAGTCACACCAGTCAGGGCAGAGACCTGAATCTTTGTGCAAAATGTTTACCTTTTTAGATGTTAAAAACAAATGTGAACTTTTAAATAACACTATGGCAGGCCAAGCAAAACATCTGCAGACTGGGTTCAGCCCTGGGCTGCTTGCAATTTGCAGCCTGAGGCTAATTGTGTGACCTGGGCCTCCGCCCTTTCTGAGGCTGTGCACTCGTCCCACCGGTGGGAGTGGTGACTCCTGGGGGGTCAGTGGCAGGACTGTACACTTTGTAAAGGCCCTCCCACTGGGCCTGGCACAAAGTAGGTGGCACAGACCTTAGTTTTACCCCTCACCCCACCCGGGGGCTTGCCTTGGCATGGTCACAAGCAGACCTGGAGAGAGCTGCATCACAGCTGGAAAAGGGGCAGCAGGAGGGCTGGAGGGCCTGGGACTGGGGCGAGGGTGGGGTCCCAAAGCTCAGGCAGGGCCAAAGGAGGGGTGGGGGAGCGAGGGGAGGTTGCAGCCGGGGCTGGAGCCTAACAAAACACTAAGGTTCTGGGAACAAGCGTGAGCAGCAAGGTGAGGCTGGGGGTGGGGAGCGGCGACGAGGCTGGGTGTCATCCTCTTGGACATCTGGGTCGTGCGCCTCTCAGCAAGCAAGAGTGGCATTACTGAAAGCCCCAGGTCATTATCGCCATTTATCATCACTGCCACTTGTCGAGCACTTACTGTGCACAAGCACATTAGGAGCTTGGTCCCACACAGTCCTGCCATAGCCCCACTAACCGTGCACTACTGTGATCCCTGCTCTAGACGTGAGGAAGCCGAGGCCCAAAGAGGAGGGGCTGCTTGCCCTGAATGGCAACCGTCACGGAGCAGACCCTCCGCTCTGGGCACCGCCGGCGCTACTTCCCGTGGCCTTCGTGGCAGCTGGCCTCTGAAGGCCCCGTGAGCCACCACTGCTGGGGCTGACATTGTTCGTGCAGCCGCTTCTCCTCGAATCTGCCCCATCGCTTGCTCTGGAGCGAGAGAAGGCAGCAGAAGTGACGCTGTGTGACTTCTGAGGCAAGGATATAAAATAGACTTGCAGCTTCTTCATGGGTCTCTGGGAAGGCTTGCTCCCACAGGGACCCTGGCACCGTGCTGGAGAAGCCGCTCCCGCCGAGAGCCCCAGCTGGGCCCCCGCGCCAGCCGCACTGCCAGGGGCCGTCTGGACGCCCCGCCCGGCCGACGCTGGCATCTGACTCAGGCGTCGTGGAAGGCCCCAAGCCAGGACCACCAGCTGCGTGCAGTCAACCCACTGAACCGTAAGAGATAATCGTAAGTTTTTATTTCACACCACTAAATTTTGGAGTGATGTGTTACACACCAGCAGAGAACTGGATCACCACCCACAAGTGTGGTGGAAACTCAGGCTGTCCTCCCATTGCAGCCGGGGCACTGAGGCACAGGGAGGGTGAGCGACCTGACCCAACTGGGTTGGGTCAGACTCCCAGCCAGGGAATGGCCACCTTCCTGAGCAGCTGTCCCTCCAGGAAGCTGGTGCCCCGCCTCCTGAGCTCCTGCAGCCTGTTCTTCCTGCTGGGAGACAGAGGCTGGTGCTGTCTTGCCTTGGAGCTGGCCTCCTCTCTGGGGCCTGGGGCTCTGGGGCCAGAATGTTGACAAATGGCCTCACACATATTAAACAAGAGAGATGACACTGCTCAACCCTGGCGAGGCCCCAGATGCGAGGGATGAAAAATGGGGCTGATCTATCTTGCACGCCTCAGTGACAAGGAGAAATGGATCAGCCCTAACAGGGGCTACACATTGGGCCTCAGTCTTAAATAAGTCAAATGGGAATTCGCTGCCCCTTGGGAGGCCAGCCCTGAGGGAGCGGAGGGGCAAAGGCGGCAGACTCGGCTTCCGGGGAGAGGAGGCCACCGTGGCTGACACCGGCAAGCTTGGCTCTAGGCGTGGAGTGCCAGGGCAGAAAGAGATAGAGGCCTGTGGGAGGACGGGGTCCAGAATCCCTGGCCCGTGACCTAATCCTTCTGACACTCAGCTTCCACATACGACCACGGGCTGGTGGCCCGGGTCTCATTTCATGCCGCTGGCGGCACTGTTAGAAGAGCTGGTGTTGCCCGAGTGCCTGCACGTGTCTGACCGTGTGCCAAGCACACGTGGCCGGTCTCACTATTTCCCGTCACCTCCCAAAGTGGAGTGTGGAGGCTGGAAGCTCGGGCCCTGGAGCCGGACTGCCCCGGTTCAACTCCCAGCTCTGCCACTCCCGGCTGGGTTACCTGGACGCATTATGTGAGCTCTCTGCCTCAGTTACCCCCCACGAGGTGCCCGCCTCACCACACAGCTGTGATAAGGACAGGCCAGTGCTGAATACGTGTAAGAAATGAACACACATAGTCAACAATCAGAAATGCTTGTTTCCTTCCTTCTTCTACTCCTCTAGCTCTCAGGGCCACTACCTTCCAAGGTTGAGATCTCGGGAAGCACTGCTGGTGGGGAGAGAAGGGATGGGTAAAAGGGAGTCAGAGCCTTAGCTGGTTTCCCCACAACGGTTCTCCTTAAAGGGAACCAGGGATGGCGTTGATGGGCCAGAATCCCTTTAAGGCGCATGCCGTGAAGGGGCAGAGCTGTGCAGGAGGTGGAGAATGTGGAATGTGGCAGGAGTCCCCACTGGTCTGCTCTGGGGTCTTTCTTAGTCACAGCCCTTCCTGGCCCATTCTGACGACCTCTCCCCAAAGATGCTCCCTGACCACCAAGCCTCTCCCTCCGCTGCTTCCCTCCAGCACACTGTCCTCTTCCTCCCCTGCCGGGTGCCTTGACTGGATGCTTCCCTGAAACCCTCCCTGCCAGAGCTGAGACAGAGGCCCCTTCTCTGGGTTCCCACAGCCGCGTGTGGTGGCTCCTCGCCGCCACACACACGGCACGCCACGGAGCACGGTCCCAACCCCTCTGCCCCGTTGCAGCGCCGTCTAGACACCACTGTAACCCCTCCCCCCGTGTCTCTCTCTCTCTCTCTCTCTCTCTCTCTCTCTCACACACACACACACACACACACACACACACACACACACACACACGGAGAGCGGTCGGCCCCGAGCGAGTGCTCAGCAGCTGTGTTAACAGACTGAGCAGATAAATGGCCCGGACTACCGGCAGCAGACGGGTATTCCCCATGTAAGGGGCAGCTGTGGTCGTTGCCTTTCCAGCACACATTTCTTCTTCTGATAACAGCCCACTTGGCTCCCAACCAACCCCCCAGTTTTCCACCAGGGGACCTCCCCTCCTCCTCTCTCTGTCCCAGGGCTTGGGTGGGACCAATACCATGTGACTCGGGTCAGGTCAATTAGAGCAGTCCAGCCTCCTCAGGGTCTAACTCATTGGTTGAAGGATGGCCACGTGACTGAAGCTAAGCCAGTGAAAGCCATAACTGGGGTTTTGACTGGAAGTACTGGAAAGAAATGCCATCTCTGTGCTGGGGTTGCTACATTTGTGTGAGGCCCAGAGCTGAGAATGGCAGCCGTCTCTGCTCTCGCTTCGGGGAGAGCGCTTGTGCGTGAAACCGACACACAGGCACCGGAGACAGAAAACGGGGGAGCACGGCTGAGCTCCTGGCCAGCCGCCTGGACTCAGCTCGCCCAGCGTCCGTCCCCCACTCACCACCTGAGAGCCTTTCACTCATTCCTGGCTCCAGAGAGGCACCTGGCCAAGTCGAGCCAGTAAACTCAGGCCTCCCCCTCAGTCACGGTGACCAGTCAAGAGAGAGAAAGTGACCAAAGTCAGGCTCTTCAGAGGGAGGCTGGGGATTCCAGTTAACGCCAGGGAAACTGTAGCCCTGTCTCTGCCTGTATGTGCGGGAAGACGCAGCAGCCTTGGGGGGAAGCCTGAGTGGGGGCAGAGTTACGATGTGAGGGGCAATGGTCCGGTGACCACGGTTGAGGAGAACCCAGCCCTTATGACGTCAGCACCCCTGGGTCAAACATGCCCTGAAGTCCCTAGCGCAGCTGCACTTTCCACTTTCAGGAACCCGTGCACTTCCACGTGCTCAGACTAGTGTGTCTGGGCATTTTTCCTGTCACAACCCGTGCCCCCTAGCTGATACCCCTGGATTCTTCAGTTAAGTAAACAAATGCAGACCCTTGTTTACTTAAGTTGGGATTCTATCACTCATACGCACATACGCACAAGAGTCCTGCCTGAGTCTGCCCTTTGCACACCATGCTCTGCGGGCGACTCCTGTACCCCGTGTTCAGGGCCCCTCAGGGTGTCACCCTAACCCATCGGACCACCCAGCACCCTCCTCGGCTCGCCCACCTTTGGATCCTGCCAGCTTCCATCTCCACCCTCACAGCGGCAGAGAAGACAGGGGTTGGCAAACCTTCTCTATAAAGGGCCAGGCAGTAAATATTTTAGGCTCTGTGAGCTGCTCAGCCTCGGTCCCACTGCTCACCTCGGCCGCTGTAGCGTGAAAGCAGCCATAGACGATACATAAATAATGAGCGTGGCTGTGTCCTAATAAAACTTTATTTATGGACACTGAATTTGAATTTCACATATTTCACAGAATATTCTTCTTTGATTTATAACCTAGAATTAGAAAATGTAAAATTCATTCTTAGCCCAAGGGCTGATGAAAACAGGTGGTGGTCTGGGTTCGGACCACGCGAGATAGTTTGCCCACTCTGGGCTACCCCCGCCTTCCTCTGGCCCCCAGGGAGGCTAAGTCACTGCAGTCCCAGCCCACCTCGGGGAACTCATGTCTGAAGAACAAAAGCCACTCACCAGAAGGACCACCCGTAGTCCCAGGAGTGGGGCCTCCAGTCTTCAGGGCCGAGGCTCACGGTGACCTGGAACACCTGTGTGTACATCATGTGGGCCACCATGCCCAGGAGGCCTGTGGGGGCAGAGAAGGCATCAGGAGGCACGGCGGGGCTTTGTGCACCCCCACGGGCCTGTCGGTGCTGGGGAAGAGCTCGGACCCCCCGGGAAGAATGGTTGGCAGGACCAGAGCACAGGAAGCCAGAGGGAGGCTGTTTTCTGAGCCAGCCAAAGAGCTCGAGTCTGAGCAAGAGGGCAAAGGGCAGCCCTGGGAAAGTGTACACAGTGGAGGCAGAGTCAGCTCTGTGTCTGGATGGCTAGATTTTTCTGTTAAGAACCAGGCAAGTAACCGTTTTAGGCTCTGTGGGCCACTGGGTCCTGGTGCGACTGTCGCATCCACTTCTGCAGCACAGGGCAGCCGTGCGTGGCTCGTAGGCGCCAGCACAGGGCCGGGTGAGCCCGTGGGCCACTGTGTGCCGATACCCACATGGGAAGGTGGTTTGGGAGAGGGAGCCTAGAGAGCATTTTCCAGTCGTCAGGTCTTAACTCACGAGATGAGTGGATCAGGAAAGCAGCTTCCTGGATTGCAACCAGCACTACAGAAATAAGAATGGAACAGAATAGAAACACCTACCACCATCGAATGCAGCAGGAGTAAGTATTGTTTTGTGCATGAGTGCTGATTGCAATATGAACCATTTCTCTGCGGTTCATGGTCAAACATCTCTGAGCCCACTGGCAGGGAGAACTTCGCTCCCAAGGGGTCTGGGCGAGAGCCCTCCTCCTGCACATCTCACCCTGGAGCCCTGGCAGGCACTTCACCCCCTGAGCCTCACGCCCCCAACCCTGAGATGAGGGTTACAACAGCTAAGGGGGAGGGTGGATGAGATGGCAGCCTCAGCATCTGATGCCCACTGGACATGCCATCATAACAGTGACCACGGTCGTTACGAGCCTGGGACACTTCTCTGCTGCGACTGTGGCCTCTGGAACCCTCATGGGTACCTCAGTGTGTGGGTAACTGGTGTGGATTGAACTTGCAGATGGAGTGATAGCCTAGCTGGTGTGGCTCAGTGGACTGAGCGCTGGCCTGTGAACTAAAAGAGCCTCAGTTCAATTCCTGGTAGGGGCACATGCCTGGGTTTTGGGCCAGGTCCCTGGTTGGGGGCGAGTGAGAGGGGACAACTGATCAACATTTCTCTTGCACGCTGATGTTTCTCTCCCTCTCTTTCTCCCTCGCTTCCCCTCTCTTTGAAAATAAATAAATAAAATCTTTTAAAAAACAAAGATGGAGGGATAATAGTATTGATGAGGAGGGAAAGGTTAGGTGACCAAAGGAAGGAAACCAGTAACGCTTATGCGCCTACTGTGCGCCGAGCACTCTGCCAGGCTGGGACCTCCATCATTCTCCCCTTTACTCTTCATACCCACGCCTGCAAGCTCATGGCCCTGATCACCGAGCTCACTCCAGAGGCTCCAGCACACGACCCCAGGCCTGATGGAGACAGAGGACTCAAAAGCGACACAGAGGTGGCTGTCTGTGTCTCTGGGCCAGGGACAGCCTCTTGTGGATGCCTCCCACCGCTCTCTGACCTCAGGTGAGGGCTACTTTCTAGGGCTGTGAGGGGCACTTCAGTCAGGAAGGCCAGGCAGAGGGCGACCTCCAGAGCCCCGTAAAGGCTTAGCATCCCCCAGGCCGTCTCTGCCAGGCTCTCAGACGGCCAAGTCCCCATCCTGGGTGGGCTGGCAGGTGTGCCAGAAGCCTCTCTGGTCCCCTCTGCCCTGGCTCTGCTGGAGGGAGGAGACGAGGGTGTGAGCCACACGGACAGCTTATTTTTAGGTGCCTGGCACAATTTTTTGGTGAACTTGCCAACAAATATACCTTATTCTTTGGAACTTTTGCATGGGATCTTTGATAATGATGTCCCATGCTTTATTTACTGCATCAGTTGGTGGCCTTGAAGTTACTTCAGTTTCCTGCTCTACAGGCAGTGCTGCCCTGAGCACCTTCGACAGGTCTCGCGCTCGTCCTCACCGGTGCCCGGGACTGCAAACTCTGGTAACTTCGTCCACTGCGCGGGAAAGCAGGAGGCCTCGGCGTTGTGTCAAGTTCCGTATTTTCCTTACTATCAGTGAGCTTGGGCATTTTCACAGGCTTATTAATCATTTCTATTTTTTCTTCTGTAAATATGTGTGTCTGTATCCTTTGTCAACTTTCTTATTTTTTTAGTCTTTTTTATTATCAATGATAGGAGTGCTTTCTGCATCTTTCAGCCTTTTCCACAGTCCTGTCTGTTGCATGGACCATAAGCAGTTTTTGCTGCTTGTCTTTCCCCATGTACAGAACACCTCCTTTTAAACAATTAGCAGAGCTGATTTTTGGGAGCAGTTTTAAGCTCACAGAGACATTGAGCAGAAAGTGCAGAGAGCCCCCATCGCCCCCCCCCCCGCCGCCCCATGGGGAGTGCGGCACGTCTGTCACAGCTGGTGAGCCAGTGTTGGCACATTGTCGGTGCCTCAGTCCTCGGTGCGCACTACGGGTCCCTCTGTGTTGCACTTCCCACGGATTCTGACAAACGTGTAGTGGTGTGTAGAATAGCGTCACTGCCCTAAAACTCCCCTGTGCTCCGCCCGCCCCCACCAGACCCCTGGCCACCACCGATCTCCTCACTATCTCCAGCTTTTCCTTTTCCAGAGGCCACACAGTTGGACTCATTCATCTCAAAGCCTTCTCAGACGGGCTCCTTTCACCTAGGAGTGTGCATTCAGGTCTCCTCCATGCTTTTCGTGCCTTAAGAGCTCACTTCTTTTTACTGCTGAACAGCATTCTACTACTGGGAGGGACCTCGGGTACCTCATCCATCACCTATTGAAGGACAGTTTTGTCACTTCCAATTTTTGGTAATTATGAATAAAGCTGCTTTTGTCACACATTTTGATATTTGATACCATCAAACCTATCAGTCTTTTCTTTTTTGGTTTGCACTTCCTATGTCTATTTTAAGAAAACCAACACCATAAACAGACTCTCCTGTATTTTTCTAACACATATATACACGTTTGTTTATTTCCTCTGGAATTTATCTCAGTGACTGGCGTGAGGTAAAGATCTAACTTATTGTTCTTGAATGCACAGCTGATCACTTTGAACCCTTATAAAATAGACCAGTCTTCCCCCACTGATTCTAAGTGACACGTTCCTCCTACCCCAAGCCCCACACGTGCGCGGGTCCACAGGCCGCTCTCTGTCCCCGTGTCACTGAACAGTGTGTTCAGTCCGCAGAAAGTGCAGCAGAGTCTGCCTGGAAGGATGCGTCTCTCCTCCTCCCTGCCCAGGGCTCCCACCCTCTGCAGGTGCCGCCCGACCCAGGAGCTTCGCCCTGCGGTGGCCCCGACCCCTCCCTCAGCCACACAGATCCTCCTGAGGGCGGGGCCTCGCTCTCCAGACCTCAGCCGTTGCCCGTCTTTGGTCTCCTCCTCGCCCTGCCAGTCCAGAGGCTCCCTGAGCCCTCTGGCCCCTCAATTTCCTCGTCTACGAGCCACTGGCAGCTGCAGGGAGCACCCACCGAGGAAGGAAAACGTCCACGAGGATGACCACTCCTCACGGCGGGACAATGGGGACAGAGCGGTGTTTTAATACGAGAACTCTCAGCTGGACCCAGCAGCTAGCCCCGGCCTGTTTGGCAGAATAATTAATTTTCTGAATTGTTGGTTTAGAAAAGCATTGATTTCTCAACTGAATTCCATTTATTCCCAAATCTGAAAGGCCATGCTTTAAGAAAATTCAATAAATAAAAATTGCAACTGGTGAGACACTCGAGTTGCATTGTTAAGATTCTGCTTCAGACACCTGCCCCTCGCCCGCGTCTCTGGAGCGTGCTCGTTCGCCTGTTCATTCTGCCCAGTGAGGTCCCCAACCAGGGCCGCCTGCCGGACACACCCTCAGCAGAAGGTATGGTTTTCAACTCGTCTGAACTTGTAAAACATGACTTTCCGGTGACTTACGGAACCCCCTAAATTAGGGGGGACTGGATGAACGAGGCTTCCCTGCCGGCGAGGCTTCCCCGTGTGGGCCCACCCTGACAGCCACCGCCGTGCTCTCTCCTCCCGCGGTTTCCAGAACCTCCCCACTCCGGACGCCACGAATGGACTTGCCGGCCTGCAGGCTGAGGGGTGAGTGACTTGCACTTGTAGAACACTCAGAACAGGGCTTGACACGCACGTGTCCCACAGTGAGCGAACGAGTGCACGAGCGGGTGCGTGCCCGGGGCGCACTGTGCAGGCCTGCCAGGCTGGGTCTGCTCCGCTTTCCAGGGAGTCCCCGCTCCTGGCCCAGGGCCCGCACACCGTGGGCCTTCAGTGTATGCTCGTTCAATGACTAGGCGACTGCTGACTGCGAGGTGCTTGGGGTTGTCAGGCTGGCTGGTGTGCGGGGTCTGGGGTCTGGCGTATGGGGCTGAGTGAGGACAGGGCCGGGTCTGAAGACTTTGGAGAGCAAGCCGTGGAAGTGAGCGAATGTCAGAGTGACCGTTCGTTCACTTACTCACGCTCCAGACACCACTCCGGGGGGTTGGCGGGAGAGGCTGGAACGGGTACACAGGCACCCCCGCCCTCAAGGGTCTCAGCTGCCAGTGGGGAGACACAGACAACGAGCATTTAACCTCACAAGAAAATTTCAGGCAGGGAACAGTGCTGAGATCGATAACATGGGACAAAGCACCAGGGAGCTCCAGGGGCCGCTCCAGACCGGGTGGTCAGAAAGGGCCTTTCTGAGGAGGCGGCACTAAAGCAGAGGCTTGAACAGGGAGCTGGAGGCAGCGGCGTGGACGTCTGGGGAAGAGTGTGCCAGAGGAGCCTCCGAGGGCTCCTGTCAGGAGGAGGTAGCGGCCCATTAGGTCAAACCTGAAGGCGGAGAAACGACTGTTGGATTTGGCAACATGGAGGCCACTGGGGACAGACGCCTGCCTGGGACAGGCTGACAGGAAGAGGAGATGCAACAGCCACTATTACAGAAGAGGCTTCCAAGCGTGTTGCTGGTGGAAAGGCAGAAACAGGGGTCAGCGCCGAGAGGGCCTG